TCAATTCGAATCCACCAATGCAGCGTAAGGCACCAAGCAGAGTGGACCTTCAGGAACAAATACAATCTCATCCCCTTCCACCAAATCAGCGATAGGAGTAACTATGATATCATGGAGCTTCCTCAGGGCATTTGTCATCGAGTTTCGCAAGGAGTCATCGTTCGTTCCTTTTCCATCTCGGCCCACTTCAGGTAAACTTATTTCCCATTGAACAGTGGCCCTTACATTGGCTTCTATGCGAGTAGCCTTATTCAGAGAGGTGATGTAGAATTCTAATTCATCCCGGTAAACAAAGTTGTTCACATGCTTCATTCTCGATCCGACGACTTTCCCATTCCGAATTACCCACGAAACAATGTAAGGTCCGGTTATTGCTAGAAAAACTGCATCTGATAAAATGCTTTTTAGTGAGAGGGAATCAGAGCGTTTTCCAGAGCTCAACCGAGCGTAGGCTTGTACAAAGTTATACCTTACATCCATCAAATCTACTAGAGCTTGTGCGCGTCCCTCCTCGGCAGCAAGAAGAGCTTTGACATCCTCACCCCGTCTAAAAAGAACGCGCCAAATACCCGTGTATGCTGTTTGGTAGACATTTCGGAATGAAATCTTCCATGCATCGTGATTCAGAAATCTAGCCCGAAGCTCATTAAAAACCTCCCAACTGGAAACAAAATAGTCCAGGGCCAATTGGAGACATCCCTGCTCTTCATAAATGAGAGCAAGACAACATTGACTCACGGCCATCTCAAGCAGTTGCCCTTCTTCTTTGGAAATTTCTAGAGCGCTTCTATGGTACTCGATGGCTGTTATGAACTGTCGTAGACGATAATAGGCATCGCCAAGATTTGCATAACTTTTTCCTTCTCCAGCCCTGTCTCCCACTTCTTTGGCAATTTCTAGGTGACGTTTATGGTACTCGATGGCTGTTTTAAACTGTCCTAGACTATGATAAACATTGCCAAGATTTGCATAACTCCATCCTTCTCCAGCCTTGTCTCCCACTTTTTTGGCAATTTCTAGGTAATCTTTATGGTACTCGATGGCTGTTTTAAACTGTCCTAGACCATGATAAGCATTGCCAAGACTTGCATAACTCTTTCCTTCTCCAGCCTTGTCTCCCACTTCTTTGGAAATTTCTAGGTCACGTATATGGTACTCGATGGCTGTTTTAAACTGTCCTAGAACATGATAAACTTTGCCAAGACTTCCATAACTCTTTCCTTCTTCAGCCTTGTTTCCCACCTCTTTGGCAATTTCTAGGCGACGTTTGTGGTAGTCGAAGGCTCTTTTGAACTGTCCTAAACGATGATAAGCACTGCCAAGATTTCCATAAATCTTTCCTTTGACGGCCTTGTCTCCCACTTCTTTGGAAATTTCTAGGTGACGTTTATGGTACTCGATGGCTGTTTTGGACTGTCCTAGACTATGATAATAATTGCCAAGATTTCCATAACTCTTTCCTTCTCCAGCCTTGTCTCCCACTTCTTTGGCAATTTCTAGGTGACGTTTATGGTACTCGATGGCTGTTTTGAACTGTCCTAGACCACAATAAGCATTGCCAAGATTTCCATAACTCCTTCTTTCTCCAGCCTTGTCGCCCACTTCTTTGGCAATTTCTAGGTGACGTTTATGGTACTCGATGGCTGTTTTGAACTGTCCTAGACAATCGTAAGCATTGCCAGGATTTTCATAACTCCTTCCTTCCCTGGCATTGTCTTTCACTCGTCTGGCCATGCGCTGTACTGCCTGGTTTAACTCTTCCTAAGGGTTTGGAAATGTGTTGCAAACTTTTATTATACTATTATTCGAACACTTAGTTTTAGGTCCGAATGAAGGTCTTACATTAAAGGCCAGAGACAACTAGTTTCCTTGTTAGACCTTCGCGATTGGTCTATGAGATACACTAGCACAAAGTTTTTATGAATTCATCGTTCGATGTGGATTTTCGATTGACATGTCGTCTTTGTCAAAGTGACTAAGCGCTAAAAAATGAGGTGATGGAGAGGCAGGCTTATGTCCAAGCCATTGGAATATGCCAATTTATATTCATTACAACGTAGGTATATTTTACAAGACTTCGGCCTTAAGGCTAATCACTTTTTGATGTTCTGGGTGGGAGTAATGTCATCTTGAACAGCTTGAAGATAACTTTTGTCTATGGAAGCGACTAAGAAAAACGGAAATTATATCAGTGTGGATGTCTGACGAAACAGAGAAATTATTTATCACTGAAATTGAATGTGACTTCGGAAGGATCGACAAGTGTTAGGTGCTAGACAGCTCCCGAATTGTTCCTCTCTGTCCCCTCGTTTTCCTCTATGTGCGCCAATACTCTTCCAGCAAGGCGGGAAACAATCTTAGCTTATAATACAATTATAATACCACTGAAAACTGGTTCTGAAGTGCCTGGTTCGCCTTTCATTTCAAATACTAGAAGTTTTAATTCACGTGAAAAATACACACTGACGATTTAAATCGATAGAAATAGTTGACGTATGAAATAATTTCTGACTAAAAATAACTGTTGTAGCTATTTAACCATCATAATTTCATATTGAGTAGTAATAAATGCCTAGACAACCTTTTTCAGATCGACAAAAAAGACCAAAAAGAATTTTGAAACTTTGATTTTTTTTTTCAAAATGGTGACAACTTTGCCGGAAAAAACAGAACCGACGAGATCGAATCTATTTTGCTCTAGGTGTGACTCAAATCTCCCCTACGACCTGAAAGCCTTATGACTTTGCGAATACAATCCGAGAGTTATCGGAATCATCATCAAATAGTTAGTTGAACCTTGTTTATAAAACATATTAACTATATATTGTTTCTGTCATAGAAATTGAATTTATAGGAATGTGACATTTAGAACTTAAAAATGACGAACGAGTTATCGAAACGTCATTCAAAATTATAATCTCTCATTTTTATTCTTAATAGTTTGTCCAAAGCCCTCGGTACACTTTGAACTGGCAGAGAAAAATAATACGAGGTTCCTAGATTATATTTTGCACCTTATAGACAAGGGATCATTCGCCATCCAAACTTGGTTAGTATATGTCCCTGCGATCTTAACGATACAGCGATGTAATTGGTTGGTTTACGTTACCAGATCTAGATCTGGATTGAAAGCTGTGAACTCGAGATGCTCGTTTTAACCTCTATAGTTTTTGGTCACTCAACATAATTTTATTTAAAGCAACCGTAATGAAGGGATTCTCAAGTTTACCTTTTCTTGCTGTGGCCTTATCTCTTGAGATGTGATTGTCTCACCAACACACTTGTTTAGTAGATGACGCACTCTTTTGCTATTATGGTCTATCTTCATATCGTTAAGTCAAATGAAACTGCTGAGAAGAAGGGTGGAAGGCTCAAGGTTTGTTTCATCCAGTGTTTTGGAGAATGTCAATTATAGACTGGAAGACGTCTTTATGTTCTAGCTGCAAAGTGCCTTTTTTACTGTTGAAAACTCGATAAAACCACGTCACAACAAAGATTTGAATTACCTTTAAGACAAAATTGTCAATGATAACTGTAGTTATTTTGCAGTTTACATAGTTATTTATTACTTGTGCAATTCGTTTAAGTGACCCACTTTTCAGCCTTTCTTATTGTTCACTTCGCCACTTTCTCTGCCTCTTAATTGTCATTTTATACTCATTGACATTAATTTGATCGAGGGATAAATTGTGTCGATTCACTTCGAGAGAAATCTGCGCAAAGAAGCAGGGATTACCAACAAACGCTTTCCAAATATCACTTAGTATAAAACAATGTCCGGATATCGTACCCTTTTGACCGAGAAAGGAGAAGCGTTTTGCCCCAAATGCACTCAAGATCATTAGAAAAGTCTGATCGCTAAGTTCTGATTTAACATAAATTGACAGTTTGTGACATGTAGAGAGGAGAGGAATTATTGTTTAACTGCTTGAGTAGAAGTGGAATGATTGATCTTTTAAGATGAGAACTTGCCAAGGCAAGGAGAATTACATCTTAGCAGAAATTTACACAACAGGAACGTTTTTAATAAGCTCAAAAAGGCTGAAGAATTATAAATAAGTATTTCGTGATGTTTTTACGGGATAAAAGAAACGGGCATCTAAGAATTACAAGAGGCTTCAAAGTTTGTTTGTTATAAAGGGAAGTAAGTTTGATGCAAATGGCATACATTTTAAGAATTATGGAACGAGCTCTGGGGGACAACGAGTGGATTAGGGCTTTAATCGTCACACAGACTAACAACTGACGGAAAGATAGAACTGTGACAGTAGTAGACAAACAGCGAATGAGCGTTGTTTAAGATGGAATTATAACTGGCAGTTTCAGAGGGAAAAGAAAGCAGCTGGGAAGATTTTTATTCTAATTGACATTCCTGAATCATAGTTAGAGATGGAGAAAAGCTGTGAAAACAAAAGAACTACAAGGAGAATGGCAAGCAGATAAAAATATTTTAACTTCAACTGGGTCCAGCATCAAAGCGTGTTCGCAATCCAAAGTGAACCTTTAATTTAGATGGAAAATGAAATGAGCATTACACGAATGTGGAAAGAGTAAGACATTAAGATCCATCACTTGCCAGTGCTGGGTGACGAGGTTACATGTGAGTAAGACATATTTGGCCAGGGAAGGCGCGATACTTTCCTCGCGGCCTGTTCGCCATTTGAGCGTTTTGTTTTGTACGTCTGCGAAAAACCTCAAAAACTGGAGCCTGTTTGTGAGATTGTTGACAAATTCTTATCTATTGTTCATGCCAGGACAATGGATAATGTATCGTTTTTCCTGTGCAAAGCGGGTTGCAAGGTGTCGATAGCTGAGGAAAAACGTGAAACGGCGCAAGTTAAAGCTCGGGTATTGCTTTTAGCTGGATAATCTGTTATCCTTGAGGCCCTGGCGATGAGGAGAGCGCGATTAGTCCCTTACAGCAGTAGATATGCAGCCAATAAAAACCTCAAACTCGCAGTCAGAGCTTAGCGACAGGTGTTGTTTCTGGTTGAAAGAGTTAACATACTTTGCTGAAGGAAAAGGCAATGTTCAAATTACCGCCATACATCATCGAGAATCTATCAATAGTTCTACCGTACATGCAGAAAGCCATGAGGATGTTTATAGCAGAGGACCATGACCATACGAAAGCTAATAAAAGAACCGTCGGAGTATCAGTATTAACGCTAAGCTTTATTGGAGCAAGGAGGGGTAAGAGCGAGGAGAGCAGGTGGATTTACGAGCCAAAGCCCAGGCGAGTCTTAGCGGTGGAATATCCAGATGGAAGAAGAGGCTGCTGTTTGGGCCTTTGACATCTAAAGTAGTTTCCTACCGGGGCTAACAACATAACAGCTTATCCCTTACTGCAAAGCTGTCAAAGAGGTCTTTGGACCCAAATCTAAACTATCGGTGAAAATGGAAAGGTTGGTGTTACGTTTGATGCACTTCAAGGCAGGATTCTTGTAGGACCGAAATGATTAGGTCATTACAATTGGCTCAAATTGGCTCTTTAACTTTTAAATAACAAGTCTTCCACGTGTCGACAATACTACCGTGTGACATGAGTTCGGCTACTCCCTATACGTCCCCGAAAATTGAACGAGCAGGGAATCTATCATTGCAAGAGAAATTGTAGCCTTCAATAAATGAAACGTGAGTCTTGTAAACAGCATCAGTGCTCAAAAGAAATGAGTGCTCGCTAAGTCCAGCCATACTTATGGCAATCAGACCTAACCTCTGACACAGAGGTCGATACTGCATGCCTCTTCACGTGCTAGCCCTGTAAAGCTGTTTTATGACAGGAGGATTTTAACAAAGAAGCCAGAATCTGAATGAGGTGACGAGGACCACGATGAAAGCGATCAGGAAATACAGACAGACCACAATTCAATAGATTAGTGAGTTGAACAGCAACAACGAAGTGCAGAGTTACAAAAAGAACATCTGCAGAGTCGAGATTGGCAACAGTGGAAAAAGTGCTTCATGGACTACAGCGAGAGAAAACGAACAAAGCCTTCAAGTCATGACTCTGCGTAACCAAAATTTTCCTTCAAGTGCAATTGCATTTTTATAGAGTTTGTATATGCATCTTTGAAACAGCTGGATTTAGACATTTTAGTTTTAACTGATTTTGTTAATTATTCAGCATCATAGTTTTTGCCTCAAAACGAGGGCAGATGTAGTGACCATAAATGATGGATAGTATACTCGTCGTCTCTTTCCGAGACCTGACGAGTTAAGAAGGCAAATAGAATAACATAGAAAAGGTGGTTTTGCTTTAAGTGACCGTTTAATACAGGTGGAGGACAATGCAAAAAAGGCCCTTGGGACTCATTCAAAGGTGACCACGACCGCTTAGTAAAAGTGAAATTAAAGTAATTAATGGAAAACAAATTCAGTACTTTGACAACTGTCCGACTAATACAGGGTGATTGCTTAATACGGGTCTGACTGTTGTTTGAAGCACTTTTTACATCTTTTATACGAATGAATTTCTCAAAGGATATAGCTAGTCCTTTCTGACACCAGATCTTTGCTTCATCATACAACTTAAGCTGTACACAAGCTTCAGCTCCTATAAAAACAATGTTTGGCGGGAAATAGTTAAGTGCCTTTATTGAGAAGACATAAGATTGGCATTTTCAATACACAAAAGATGTTTTCCAGTATGTGACCACGTAGATATGAGCCGAGAAATTTTATGTCAACGTAGCCAGAGCTTTTCTACTGAGTGGCGGATAAAGAAAAACCTACCTTTCTTAAGGGCTTTGGTGAAAGTTGGCTCCAATTGAACGGCAACCGAGGCATCATCCAAGCTGTTTTCAAAGTTTTCTAAGAGAGGGATATCATACGATAGTGAAAACAGTATCCGATTCGCTTTTAAACTGGCCTGTTTTCAACTATTTCGAGTTTTTCTTCGCGGCTGAGTGATAAGAAAACAAGCACGATCATTTCACCTATGATAATGAGATAAGAAGGGGGACTGGAGAGGAGTAAAAGGAGAATATACGCGGGAATTGACGGTGTTAACGGGATTGGCCAATTTATTTCCCCCCTATTTTTAACATTGGGACCTACAACTTGAGCTTCCCTAACCTCCAAACGTTGAACAAGAGTCGTCAGTGATATGAAGCTCTCTTCGGGGCTTTTAGTCCAATAAAAGTTGCAAGATACGGATTCTTTGTCTTAAGTAGTGATTATATTACTGGATATTCTGCAACTTGTTTGGAGTCATCGATAAACGTTCAAAAAAATGAGCCTAGAATGGGACCACATAACCCCCTATTGAAGATGAACTTTTTAAGTAAACCACAAATATTTTAACAATCAAATTCCATGCCTAAATGGAAATGTGCTGCTGCCCTGTTACTGTAGAGTTTGGCTGTCAGCCGATTATCTTTGCAGTTTAGTTGAAGTCCCTCGGTGTAGAGTTGTATTGCACCATGATAATCTCCCTGCAGGTATTCTTTGTTACCTTGCTGAAGACAGTCCTTTCCTATCACTAAAAATGCAGGAAAACGGAAAGCAATGAGCTATACTGGTGATA